AACCGCCCATCCAGCTACATTATCTTCAGTTTGCTTCTTTATATCAAGGAGAAAACTTGTGACTAAAATGGAAATTTAAAAAGTTCTACATTCTGGAGCATCAAGATCTAATGCAGTATGCCTTTGCAAAGTTTGCATAGAGTATTCAACAAAGCCGTTTTAATGTTCTTTTACGGAGCGCACAGTTCAATGGTGGACCAATTTGCCTTAAAGGGATAAGCCTCTACTACTATTTTGCTCATCCTCTGAACATTGGCATCCTGCTGATCCATTTCTTCCTCAACCCTAGGATAGCCCAGAAGAAATGCTGGTCACCTGTTTCCTCTGTGAGGGAGTTTGGCTCCTCAGGAGGCCATTTGGCTTATCTGCTAACTACAGTACAATCATGGGCGGGAAGAACATTCCTTAGCAGCCAATCAAGGTTCCTAAGAATGAGATTTGAAGGACTGCTCAGCTTTCTCACTCTTCTCTAAATTTGGTTGGATCTTCTTCCAGTGGAGACAAAAAGGGCTTTTTAATTTCATCCTGTCAAGGGAGTCTCAGGCTAGCTGCCATACTCCTTTGTGTTCTCTTTTCAGTTACTCTTGCCATAGTATCAACAGTTTTTGAAAATTTGAGCTGGAATTTTTTTTTCAAATACAGAAATGTTTCCATCTCAGAAGATTCATCATTTGGCCACTGACAAGAGGAACTTCCATTAATCCCAATGTCAATTTAAACCAGTAACCCTTGATTTATGACTGCAAGAAGCATCCCAAAAGATACAACAGATGCACCCTTCACAAGATTCAGGATATTCACTTCCTGTATCAGCCTAAGAAAGCTAAGACCTTCAATGTCCCAGGCAGCAAAAATGGTATAGAGAAAACGGTATCTCTGTTTTTCCCGTAGGAATGGGAGATGACTCCACTCATAGACCTGCTCATCTGTGACACTGGGCAGGCATTGTTGGATTGGGACCTTTCTAGCACTAACAGGACACAAATGTTGAGACAACAAAAGCCCTTAAGGAAGTTGACCCCTTATGATATGCTCCCCTCCAAGTTGGCATACTTGGACAGAGAGGATGCTGCTTCTTGGATTCACAACCTATTCATCTGTCTGCCAGATGCATGCCAACACTAGCATATTCTGACTGGCAGAGACCCAGAAGGAATGTTCTCACTGGTCACAAAGCCAAGTGCTTGAGACACAGTGTAAGATGAGAAGAAAACCCATCTGGCTTATTGTTTCTTCCTTATGACAACACAGAAGACCAAAGAACTCAATGGCCATCTCCTAGAGGAAAAAGAATCAGTAGAAAATAAGAATATTCACTGAGCAGGGAAAGAATGATAAGGAGGCAGGTAGGCAGAAGCTTGGAGTTTCTGCCGCTGCTCGTGGGACTGTGACACATGTGAGGCTCCTTAGGTAGAGGGGCCCAAGGATGGTGACAGAGAAATCTACTCAGAAATTGAAATTACCATAATAAAGTACCCATGTCTGAAGCCTTCAGGTGAGCTCACCATATAATTCAGCATGGCTGAGTTGCAGATGTGAGAAATTTACCATTAGTCTACCTTTAGACACCATAACCAGGGGAACTTCACTGTTTTTGAATGAAATTTTTTTTTTACTTTTTAAAAAAAGTTTATTTTTGAGAGAGAGAGAGGAGATAGAGATCCGAAGCAGGCTCCAGGCTCTGAGTTATCAGCCCAGAGCCCAACGTGGGGCTGGAACCCATGAACCATAGATTATGACCTGAACTGGAGTCAGATGCCCAACTGACTGAGCCACCCAGGTGCCCCAGAATGAAAATTTAAATTGAATATATTCTTAAATGTTTGTGACTGATTCCACTAAGATGGCATCTTAGTTCTTTTTGTGAGGGAAAATAAAGTCAGGACTAATTCAGCAACTGCTGATAAACAATACACTAAGAATGCTGGGACAGGGGGGTGAGGCCAAATTACACCTCTGTGTCACAAAGCCCAAGCCAGACTGCATTTGAAAGGTAAGAGGAGAAGGTACACATTGACCACATTTCCCCTCCCTGAGGCCATCACAGTACCATGCACAGAGATCTCCCATGAGCTTCTGATTCCTCTAGTGGGAAAAGAGAGCCCAGGGGAGACAAGCAGTCTTAACTTTGTGGGAGCCCCTACTCTGCTTTCATCCCACAGCAATTACAGATACAAAAATCCTCAACAAAGCATTAGCACAGCAAATCCAACAAAACATTTAAAAAATCATTCACCATGATCAAGTGGAATTTATTCCTATGATGCAAAGGTGGTTCAGTATTCACAAATCAATCCATGTGATGCATTACATCAACAAGAGAAAGGATAAAAACCAAATGATCTTTTCAATAGATGTAGAAAAAAGCATTTGATGAAGTACAATATCCACTCATAAGAATCCTCAACATAAGTAGGATTAAAGGGAACATACCTCAACATAATAAGGCTATATATCACAGACCCACAGCTAACATTATACTCAGTGGTGAAAAATGAGTGCTCTTCTTCTAAGATCAGGAATAAGACAAGGATGCCCACTCTCTCCAGTTTTATTCAACACAGCACCAGAAATGTTAGCCATAGAAATCACACAGCAAAAAGAAATAAAAGGCATCCATATTGGTAAGGAAGAAGTAAAACTGTCACTATTTGTAGATGACGCCACCAAAAAAATATTAGAAGTGATAAATTCAGTGATGTCACAGGATACTAAATCAATATACAGAATTCCATTGAATTCCTGTACACTAATGAAGCAGAAGAAAGAAATTAAGAAAACAATTCTATTTACAATTGCACTGAAAATAATAAAATACCTAGGATCCTAAGGAGGTGAAAGACCTATATTCTGAAAACTGTAACACATAGATGAAAGAAATTGAAGATGACACTAACAAATGGAAAGATATTCCTTGCTCATGGATTGGAAGAATATTATTAAAATGTCCACACTACCTAAAGCAATCTACAAATTTAATGCAATCCCTATCATAACACCAATGGCATCGTTCAGAGAACTAGAACAAATAATCCTAAAATTAGTATGGAACCACAAACAACACACATAGCCAAAGCCACCTTGAAAAGGAACAACAAAACTGGAAGTATCACAATCCCAGATTTTAAGATATGTTACATTGCTGTAGTCTCCAAATAATATAATACTGGTACGAAAATAGACACATAGATCAATAGAACAGAAAAGAAAATCCAGAAATAAACCCATGATTATATGGTCAATCTTTGACAAAGGAGGCAATAATATGCAGTGGGAAAAAGACAGTCAAATGGTGTTGACAAAACTGGACCACTTTCTTACACCATTGAAAAACAATAAATTTAAAATGGATGAAGGATCTAAATGTGAGACCTGATACTATAAAAATTCTAGCAAAGAGCACAGGCATTAATTTCTCTGACATTAGCCATAGCAGTATTTACGGGAAGCAAAAGCAAAATAGACTATTGGGACTACATCAAAGTAAAAAGATTCTGCACAAGGTAAACAACCAACAAAACTGAAAGACAACCTACTGAATGGGAGAAGATCTTTGCAAATGACTTAACTGATAAAAGGTTAGCATCCAAAGTATATAAAGACCATACACAATTCTACATCAAGAAAAACCAATAATTCAATTAGAAATGTGAAGACTAGAATACACATTTCTCCAAAGACCAATAGTTCACCAACAGACACATGAAAAGATGTTCAACATCACTCATCATCAGGGAAATGCAGACCAAAACCACAGTAAGATATCACCTTACACCTGTGAGAGTGGCTTTAATCAAAAACACAAGAAACAACAATTAGTGATGACAATGTGGAACAACAGGAACCCTCATGCACAGTTGGCAGAAATCAAACTGGTGCAGCCACTGTGAAGTATGGAGGTTCCTCAAAAAACTAAAAATAGAAGTACCATATTATCCAATAATTCCATTACTGGAATATGAAAACATTAAATCAAAAAGATAGATGCACACCTTTGTTTATTGCAGCATTATTTACAATAGCCAAATTATGGAAGCAGCCCAAGTATCCATCAATAGATTAATGGGTAAAGAAGAAGTGGTATGTATATATAATGAAATATTATTCAGCCATAAAAAAGAATGAAAAATCTTGCCATTTGCAATGGCATCGACAGATCTCGATAGTATCATCCTAAGCAATATAAAGTCAGTTATAGAAAGACAAATACCATATGATTTCATTCATATGTGGAATTTAAGAAACGAACTAGCAAATAACAAAAAAAGAGACAAACCAAGAAAACAGATTCTTAACTATAAAGAACAAACTGACAGTTACCAGAGGGGAGGTGGGCGGGGTGGGGAGGTGGTTGGATAAAATAGTTAAAAGGGATTAGGAGTACACTTACACAATAAACCCTGAGTACAGAATTGTTGAATCACTATATTGTACACCTAAACCTATTATAACCTAACGTAATAATGTTAACTATACTGGAATTAAATCACTTTCTGTGCTCATCCATAAAAACCACTCCTCATCCATTCACTTTCTATCATGAAACTAAAGCAATTCAGTCCTATCTTCAGGCTCCACTTCTAATTCTAGTTCTCTTGCTGTTTCCACCACATCTGCAGTTACTTCCTCCACTGAAGTCTTGAACCCCTCAAAGTCATCCATGAGGGTTGAGATCAACTTTTTTCCAAACTTCTGTTAGTGTTGATATTTTGTTCTCTTAAATCAAAAATCCTCTTAATGACCTCTCTAATGGTGAATCCTTTCCATAAGGCTTTCAATTTACTGATCCATCAAAACAATCAATATCTATGGTAGCAATAGCCTTGCAAAAAGTAAGATGTTAAGTCAAAATGACTTCTCTGTTCATGTGCTGCAGAATGTATATTGTGTTAGCAGGTATGCAAATAACATTAATCTTGTACATTTCTATCAGAGCTTTTGGATAACCAGATGAATTGGCAATAAACATTAATATTTTGAAATAAAGCTTTCATTCTGAGGTCTCAACAGCAGGCTTACAATATTTAGTAAACCATGTTATAAACAGATGTCCTGTAATCCAAGCTTTGTTCTTCCATTTATAGAGCACAGGCAGAGTAGATATGGCATCATTCTTAAAGCCCCTAGGATTTTTGAAATGGCCAATGAGCATTGGCCTCAACTTTAAGTCATTAGATTCATTAGTCTTCACCAAGAGAGTGAGCCTGTCCTTTGAGGCTTTGAAGCCAGGCATTATGTTCTCCTCTCTAGCTGTGAAGATCCTAGCTGCTGTCTTCTTCTAATAGCAGGCTATTTAATTTACATTTAAAATGTCTTTAGGGTAGCCCTCTTCATTCATGATCTTAGCTATATCTTCTGATCACTTGCTGCTGCTTCTTGCTCTTTTATGTTCTGGAGGCAGCTTCTTTCTTTAAACCTCATGAGCCAACCTCTGCTAATTTCAGTTTTCCCAAACTCCTGCAGTTTCCTTACCTCTCTCAGCCTTCATAGAACTGAAGAGAGTTAGGGCCTTGCTCTGGATTAGGGTTTCGATTAAGGCAACTTTGTGGTTGGTTTGATCTTCTGTTCAGACCTTCAGACTTTCTCCACATCAGTAATAAGGCTGTTTTACTTTCTCATCATTCATGTGTTAACTGGAGTAGCACTTTTAATTTCCTTCAAAAACTTTCCTTTGCATTCACAACTTGGCTGTTTGAGACAAGAGGCCTCGATTTCAGCCTGTCTTGACTTTTGACATACCTTCCTCATTAAACTTAATCATTTCTAGCATTTGATTTAAAGAGAGATGTGTGAGTCTTCTTTTCATTTGAACACGTAGAGGCTATTGTAGGATTAATATTTGGCCCAACTTCAATATTGCTGTATCTCAGGGAATAGGGAGGCCGGGAGAGCGAGGGAGAGCGAGGGAGAGCGAGGGAGAGCGAGGGAGAGCGAGGGAGAGCGAGGGAGAGCGAGGGAGAGCGAGGGAGAGCGAGGGAGAGCGAGGGAGAGCATGGCTGATGAGGGGAGCCGTCAGAACACATAAACATTTATCAATTAAGTTTACAGTCTCAGGTGAGTATGGTTTGTAGTGCCCAAAACATTTACAAGAGTAACAAAGATCACTGATCACATGGGGTGCCTGGGTGGCTCAGTTGGTTGGGCGACCGACTTTGGCTCTGGTCATGATCTCTCAGTTTGTGAGTTAGAGCCCCGTGTCAGGCTCTGTGCTGACAGCTCAGAGCCTGGAGCCCGTTTCAGATTCTGTGTCTCCTCCTCTCTCTGCCCCTCCTCTGCTCACGCTCTGGGTCTCTGTGTCTCTCAATAATAAATAAACGTTTAAAAAAAATCACTGATCACAGATCACCATAACAAATGTAGTAATAAAAAAGTTTGAAATATTGTGAGATTACCAAAAATGACATAAACAAGCAAGTGAGCAAATGCTGTTGGGAAAATGAAGCCAACAGACTTGCTTAAACACGGAGTTTCCACAAACTACATTTGAAAAAAACTGCAGTATCTGCCAAGTGCAATACAGAAAAGCACAAAACAAAACAAAAAAACAAGTATGTCTGTGATATCCAAGATTATAAGGAGCTTACATAAATCAATAGCAATAAAACAAATAATCCAAGTAAAACAATGGGCAAAGGACAGATTTTTTTCAAAGACAGTATATGAATGGCCAACACGCACATGAAAAGATGTTCAGTATCACTAGTTATTAGAGAAATGCAAATTAAAACCACAATATTTTATCACTTCATACTTGTTGGAATGGCTGTTATCAAAAAGACAAGAGATCACAAATGCTGGCATGGATGTGGAGAAAAGGGAGGCCTTGTACGCTCTTGACAGGATTGTAAATTGGCACAACCACTATGGAAAATGGTATGTAGATTCCTCAAGAAATTAAAAATAGAATTCACCACATGAACTAGCAATTCCATTCCTGGGAATATATCCAAAGGATATGAAAATGCTAACTAAAAGAGCAATCTGCACCATGTTCATACCAGCATTATTTACAATAGCCAACACCTGGAAACAACCTAAGTGTTTATTGATGCATGAATGGCTAAAGGAGTTGTTGTATACATATACAATGAAATGTTATCCAGCCATAAAAATAAGAAAATGATAATATTTGTGATAGCATGGACAAACCCTGAAGGCAGGCTAAGCAAAGTAAGTCTGAGAAAGGTATGACTTCACTTTATGTGTAATTTTAAAACAAAACAGAACAAAACCCCTTAAACAAATGGAAAAAGAGATCATAGTTTTGGTTACCGGAAGTAGGGAGTGGGGAAAAGGAGAATTGGAAGTGGGTGGTCAAAAGGTATAAACTTCCAGTTTCAAGATAAATAACTACTAGTCCTGTAATGTACAGCATGATGAGTACAGCTATTACTGCTATCTAATGTATAGAAAGGTTGAGTATGTTCTAAGAGTTCTCATCACAAGGAGAATTCTTTCTTCTATTTTATCTATAGGAGATGTTGGATAGTAACTAAACCTTTTGTGGTCATCATTTCCAAATATTTGTAAATAAGACAATTTTGCTGTGCATCTTATACACACAGTAATGTAGGTCAATTATTTCTCAGTAATACTGGGGGAAAGTGTGCCCATAATAAATCTTTACCAATGTGACTATACCCAAGGCAATTGTTCACACATATTGGTTCTCCCACTTGTAAGGGAGGGGACAAGTTTAAATTTTTACCTTCTGCTCATGACTGGGCACTACAGTGTGAGATCCGGGAGAACGGATTTTGGTAACAATTCTTACCCTTTGCCAGCTTCTGCCAGTTTTCCAGGTTCCTGTCTGCAGGCTCTGAAGTGAGTACAGTGTCTCAGTAGGCTCCATCATGGGTCACTAAACTGTAGGTGAGGAAAAGCAATTAACTCTTTACCCTTATAGGTTCTTAGCTGAGACCTCCTGTAGTAAAAGACATATAAATACTGGGAAAATAAATATAATAATATGTATTCTTCTCCTATACATGGGAAACATTAAATTCCCAGGAAAACTGAGTAACTCCCTGACTTGACCCAAGTTACTTCCTTAAATACCATCTTTAGTTAAGACAAAAGATGTGTGTGTGGAGTCGAGCTATGGAAAAGCACAGGAAATGAGGATACGAGTGTTATGCAGATTTAAGTCCCTGTCATCTCCACTGGCGAGAGTTTCCAGAAATTTTTAACTCCCCTTTTCCTGGTAGAGACAGGGAAACACCTCTACAAATGAAGGTTTCCCTCATAAAGGTAAATGCCTCTTACAAAAAGGTAACTTCTATTTGGTTTTCAGAGCTTTTCCTGTAGCAGCAGTTTCTTAAAAATATCCAGCTTGAAAAGTCCTTATGCCAAAGAGGCATGTTTGGGTGTCAGATTTGCTCCCCTTCAATATCAACTCTTACCAAAATGTTCAGCCTTCTGGATGCCCAGATCCTAATTTTGGATCTGCCATCACCCACAATTGCATAAGCCACATCTTTAAAATAAATCTCTCCCTCTCATCTCCTATAATATCTATATCTGTATCTAATCTATATATATGAACATATCTATCTATAGGATATGTTTTATCTGTTAAATAAAAATTAAAATAGTGTTAACATTAGCTTATGTGTGATGAAATAGGAATTATGGTAGCATTAGCAATTGGAATGACATGTTCTTTAACATATTATAATGGCTGATAGCTCTTTTTCCTTAAGCAATTCGACAATGCATTACAAGTGTTACAAAAATGTTTGTATCTTCCAATCCTTCAGTAAAACTTCTAGACTCTCTTCTAAGAAGGTCATTCAAAATAGAGAAAAATATCAGTACACAAAATCTTAAGTATTAACATTTATATTATTTTCAAATTTTCACTATTATAAATCATGGGGTAACAATTATGGTACCATCATGTACTGGGACATAATATAGAAATTAACATTAAATATAATTAATGAATATAACATTTTTTTTAAATTTTTTTTCAACGTTTATTTTTGGGACAGAGAGAGACAGAGCATGAACGGAGGAGGGGCAGAGTGAGAGGGAGACACAGAATCGGAAACAGGCTCCAGGCTCTGAGCCATCAGCCCAGAGCCCGACGCGGGGCTCGAACTCACAGACCGTGAGATCGTGACCTGGCTGAAGTCGGACGCTTAACCGACTGCGCCACCCAGGCGCCCCTGAATATAACATTTTTAAACCCAACATAAACAGCCAAACTTTTACATATGGTCTTATCACCATTTGTATAAAATATATACGTATGACAAAAGACTTGAAAAATCATTTTAAACTGGTAATCTTAGCAGCAGCAAAACATTCAAATGAGCTTGGATATTTTTTGTTTTGGTCACTATTTTCTGAATTTTCTGTTCAATAATTATTTTTTAAAAATTTTAATTCAAACAAGTTTTCTTTAAGCACGTTTTTAACAATTCTTCTTTAATTTCAGCTTATTTTTAGATTAAGAGTTCTAGGATATAGAAAATGTTGGGGTTTGGAGCTGATGGCCAAGAAAGAATTCTGAGAGCCACACATCTTCAGTGCAAAAAGGTGGTCTTATTAAAACATGGAGACAGGACCGGTGGGCAGAAAGAGCTGCACTGGGGTTGTGTTGGGTGACTAATATACCTTATAATTATGTACCTTCAGGTTGGGAGGGGGCTAGGGATAGTGCAAGTCTCTAAGGTATTTTGGAAACAAGGTTTCCAGGACCTTGAGGTGCTAGCTGCTGTTAGGAAAAGGTCATTTATAATTGTTTAGTAAAAACTCAGTCATGAGACCCTTCAGATGTATATCAAGAGGCTGTAAGCTTAGAGTATGATTGCCAACATATATCTTGGGAAGGTAGATATAAAGGAAGTTTCCAAAGGAATTTTTATATGTTGAAGTAGACTTACAGGATCCTAGCCCCTAGCAAAGTGTAATCATCCAGGCAGCTGAGCTCCTAGAGGAATGTCACTCTGCCTGTCTCAAAGACTTGTCATTGGGCTGTAAGTTGTAAGGAAATCTAATTTTTCATTTACCTTTGTTTCCCATATCATACTATATTTGGAAAAATAACTTTCATTTTTATAAAAACCACTTCTGTAATTGATACCTACTTTTTAGTATACTAGGTCATAATCAAGCTACTGGAAAAAGGAACCAAAAAAAAAACTTGAAA